AGCTTGTGATTGAGTCAAAATAGCTTTCTGGAACACTGGTTACATAGCAGTAAGTATGCTGAGTATAGAATTAGGTCTTTGGTTTTCTAGGACCTGAGCTCGTGCCTTAGTGAAGGTGTCCATGCCCAGAGAACTGGCTCTGCTCAGAGGATGTGCCCCCACCACTGCAGAGTGCTGACAGAATTTCATGGGAGTATGGAGGAGGGAGTGTGGCCTCGCAAGGAGGGCAGATGACAGGGAGAGCCAGGGAAGGAGGGGGCACTGACCCCCCCTAACCTGATAGGGAGGTATTGCAGGCTAGCTCCTTGTGCAAAGGCTGAGAGGCTGGAAATGGGAAGTGACCTACTCTGTTATTATTTACTTAAAGTCTTAACAAGAGGAAATTTAAGTAAGTACTGAGGCTGGTGGGTTGCTATTATATTCCGGGTACAGAACCTGACCCAGTGGTAATCAGTGCCTATTTCTGAATCAGCTGGAATTTATCACCTGTGCTCGCCTTATTGGCATGTGTGCTGTGTGCCAAGTTTCCCCCTGGTAGAACTGGACGCCCACACCCTGCGTGCCTGGCTTTCTGGGTGGAGCCCGCCTTCCTGCCTGGGCACTGATTCTTTCCACTCACTTCACACACTGGCATTTCGACATGTTAGTGCCTGGCCTGTTAACATAGGATAACAAGGGAAAGAGCCCAAAGGCGTGCCCGGCTCCTGAGCTGGCACCGGGCCAGGCCAGCCCTGCTTAGCTCCTTTCCCTGGGGTGGTAGGAAGGCAGCTACTTAGTAGCTCTGGTTCCTCCCAGTGCTTCCAAACCAGAATCTCTCCAAATGTCAGAGAGGAGAGTTTATGACTTTGTCCTTTTATGATGCGCTTTTAAGGCCAATTATTTCTAGAGCTAATAATCCTAATACCCTGTTTAATTAGGCATTGGTAAGAGAAGATATACATTTTAAAATCCATGAAATTGCAGGAAGATTGCATGACTCAGTATTCTGGGTGAATGCTTTGTAGTCTCGTGATTATTATTATCCATATTAATAAGCATTTCTTCACACACACACTCACCCATGGGGCCCTGGGCAGAGCCCATGGAGGACATAGCCTCTGTCCTCAGGGACCCGTAGAAGGCTGTCTCTAAGACACTGTAGTAAATCACACGAGTATTGTAACTGTCAAGATTTTAAACACCTAAAATCAGCACTATCATTAGCAATCAGTAATCACTGTTATAGAAGAATAAATCTTGTAATCTCCAAATTACCTGTTTGCACCAATTAGAGTTCAACTGATGAAACATACCAATCAAAGGGGAATTTACTTGAGGCACCCAAGCTTATCTAGGTTAAAAAAAAAAAAAAAAAGGAACACGCTGAGCTCCCAAACTGTTGTTTTCCAGCTCTGTATCAGTTAGGGTGGATTTTCTGCAAGCAGACCTGATAAAACCCTGCACAAGTCCCCTAAGGCAGGAGGGAGTCCGTTATTCATTTATTTGTTTACTTATTCATTTATTCCCCTGCCTGCCTACATAAAGAATAGGAGGTAGGTCACTAGGAAAGCACATATCTAAGAAGAAGGTTTAAACAAAAAAATCAAAAGGGGGAATTTGGAAATACTGGGCTGGGAGGGAGGCACTGTGTCGAAACATTTAACTTCCACAAATCTTTGTCGAGGTCCTTTGCTGAGCACAGCACAAGGTCTTGCACCAGCAAAAAGAAAAACACATCCCCTTTTGTGCCTGTGAGGCCTGATAAACTAGGGTGAAGACATGAACCCTGCGGTTGGCTCCCAGCTTCTTAGACGGCAAAGCACAGCAGAACCCCATGGGTTATCTAGTTCTCGGTGTGCAAGAAAAGAAAGCAAGTCCGTGGAGAAGTAAGGTTTTTGACTTGTAAATACTAAAGAAAAGTAAAAATTAAAAAAAAAAAAAAAAGGAAGAGATCCAGTGGAGAAAAGCTTAGTGTTTTTTTTTTACCGCTTTCTCAGGATGTTCTCCAGGCGAATCATTTCTTGACTGGAGTTGGACAAAGGAGGTAGAGATGTGGCTCCATTGTGCCTCCTTTTCCTGGTTTGCATCTGAGCTTCTAGAAACCTGGTCTTGGTGTCTGAGGTGCTGGGAATCAGGGGTTGGAAGGAGAAGGGGGATGGGAAATGGCATGACCTTGTGAAAACACCAGTCCCCTGGGAGATGTGGCTTGGGAATTAGGAGTTGAAATGAAGCTCAAAAGCAGTGAAACTCCTCTTGGCAGCCCCGCTCAGCCCATGCTGCGTGCCCGGCTCCCTCCAAGGTGCACATACCCGTGGGTTCTGTTACTGGAATAGTCCTGGCACCCCTCAGCCTTCCCTGGACCTAGGTCTTGCTCACCCCATTGTTCTCCCAGCCTCCACCTGCCTTTCTGGTTTGTCTTATAAGTCTGCTTTAGTCTTTACGTCCAGGAAATTATGTGGTTGTCATTTTAGGGCTTGCTTTGTTCATTTGTTCAAGTTTACTGTACGTTCACTTTGATTTCTGCCCTTAAACATCTTTAGGGTATCATGATGGCAGGACTGTCTTCCAAGTGGTCCCTGAGTATGCCTCTGCACCTTGCCCTCTGTGGGCAGCCTCCAAGACCACCTGAGTGGTCTCTGCCTCCCAATGCTCTGGCTTCGTGTAGTCCCCTCCCACACAGAGTCAGGGTTGGTCTCTGTGATCCGTACACCACCACCATGTTAGACACTCTTAGGTGTTAGGGATACAGTGATGGGCAAGACAGACACGGTCCTTGACCTCATGGAGGGAGCTTACAAACTTACAATTTATAACAGGAAGAATATGGACTTTGGAGTCAGATAGAACTGCCTGAACCATTACTTCTCCACTTTGGACAAGTTACTTAATCTCTCTGAGTCTCTATTTCCTCAACTTTAAAGCAAGCAAAGTATGATCTATCGTGGAGAGTTCGGTGGAGATGAAACGTGACTGTGTATGAAGCTTTTGGCACAGGTTTTGGTAGCTACTTCATAAAAGGTCTTCCCTGCAAGGTGTGTAAGGTGCTGAGAATATAGTGATGAATGAGAGGTCATTTCTGCCCCCAGGAGACTCAGAATTGAGCAGAGGGGACAGACGTATACTCACTCAAGTTTAGGCAGACTGTGACAACAGCAGTATAGAGGCCTATGGGAACCCGAAAGAAGGCATAGACAAAACTTGATAGGGAGGAGGTAACATTTTAACAAGCCTTACAGGGCCAGTCGAATGTTCATCAGTGGAGTAGGGCAGGGACATTGAAAACCCTGGGAAGTTGTGTGGTGTAAAAGCTCATGGTGCCAACAGTGGTGACAGTGCACGACCTGAGTGCTCTGGGTCATATCACTCCCCTATTGTGGGCTGTGAACCCCTGATCCAGAAATGCAGGGGTTGAACCAAATAGTAAATGACGTCCCTTCCAGCTCACGTATTGCTCAGAAATGGGCAGGACCACTTTATTCACTACCAATTTCCAGCTCCTAACACACGGCGGGCACTCAATAAATATTTATTAAATGAGTGGGTATAATTGTATGTGTAAGCAGCTTGCTCCAAATGAGAAAATCAAGGAAGTTTTTTTTCCATTTACTTCACATAAGCCATCTCCCTTGGGCCCATGTACGGTGGCGATTAAGCAGACTGCATTACGTCACCAGGACTTGTCAAAGTCCTTCAACCATTCAGTGCTTTCAGCTTCCTGGCCAACCTTTGTTTCTTCCTTATCTTCTTGGAGTTCCATTGTGGAATCCTGCTGGAGCTGTAAAGCCCCTGACCTTTCCCTGGAGAGCTCTTTAGTGTTCAGTGCGACGTCGATGTCACATGCCAGGTGGGGCAGACCCAGACAACTCTGAAGAAGCTCCTCCCATTCTCCTCGGTTTAACTTACATTTAGCTTTCGGGGTCTCCAGGAGAATTTCGAACGTCCTCGAGCTACCCTGCTGTAAGACGGGGCTGGCTGGGTGCAGTTGTGTGGTGAGGAAATTCAAGAGGCTATTCTAATCACAGATACGCTGCCCTCCCCGAACAAGACAAAATAAAACTGTGAAGAAAATAAAACGGTTGGAAGAAAAGTTGCATCTTTAATCTTTTCTTTTTTAAACAACAATGTTAATAATTTTTATTTTATTTTATTTTGCTCATTATCTGAATCTTTTTGTTCCTTTGTAAAAATTTCAGATGACTATGAGAATGCACGTGATTAGGTTACGTTGTTTGCATTTGTGCGGTAAAGGCTGCACACGCCTGTGCACTGCTCCCTTGGGGCGGGAACTTGCCAGATTGCATCTTTAATCTTGAAGAGTCACAGCCTGTAGGGCTAGGCATGGCTGTCCATAATCACAGACAGACTGAATATGGGGTAAAAACTGAGGCCTCGGAGATCCCCCATCCCTACCCCATTTTAAGCCTCCACCCCCCCACCCCTATCCCCCCCATCCCCGCCATGGAGGCCAGGACATAAGATCCTCCTGTTGCCTTTTCTGGGGCATCCCTGGGGCTTTGCCTACCCCAAGCCTTTCTAAACCATCCTCACTCTTTCAAAGTGTATCTTGGGTTTCATTTCCTCAGAGATCTGTTGTCTCCTCTATTTGGGAGACAATTTAATAAACATGTGATAGCCATCCTGTCCCTAAAATAGGACTAAGCTCACAGGGTGCAAAGATAAACGAAACAAGATCGTTGGCCCTGGTCTAGCATTCTAAGATGAAAAGTAATCAAGATGACAAACTAAATTGTGCACAACTATTTTTAAAAAATATATCTGATTTTTTAGATTGGGGAGAGGGATCAGAAAAGAAAGCAGCCTCTATACGGGGCCCTATTCAGCGGCAGCTTCTTGTCCCATAGGATTAAGGAAGATTTGAGGAAGTAGAAGTTGTCTGGAAGAACCCAGGTGTAGTTGCTCTGTATGTTGTGATGGGTAGAGGAGATGAAGTATGAAGGCCCCCTCCCCCCATCTTGCCTCAGACTACGTCCTGCAACCCTGGGGCAGAGAAAGTACCATGTTCATTTCTGTTTCTTGGGATTGTTGAAGCCCACGTAGTGATAGAGAACCACGAGCAAGAAGAGCCTTCTGCCCAGCATGTTGGCAAAGATGGCGAGCTGCTCGTCCGTGATCATCCTGACCAGCTCCACTGGGCTCTAACGCCGGCCCGAGACAGGAAACCAAGGCCAGAACTCCTCAGCCTCAGCTGTATGCACAACTATTAATGGTAATAGATTTGTATTTTACCAGGAGCATTTTGAAGCCAGTGCCCTGCCTTCATAGAATACTATTTGTTAAATAAAAACACTTAAAACATTTTTTTGCAAAACCTTAAGAGCAGTAGAGGGGTACTTGATATTTGTGGAAAACTTAGAAAGTAAAGACAAATATAAAGTAGGGCCAATCTTTCCAATGGTCTTACTACCCAGGAGCAAGTCAATGTTGGCTTACTTTTCTTTTTCTTTCTTTTTTTTTTTTTTTTTTGCAGTTTTTGGCCAGGGCTGGGTTTGAACCCACCACCTCTGGCATATGGGGCCAGCGCCCTACTCCTTTGAGCCACAGGCACTGCCTGGCTTACTTTTCTTTTTTTGCCATGCATGTGTGAACCTATGTTTACATAATTTTGCATCCCACTTCTGTTACTGAGCAGTATATCCCAATCATTCTGCAATATTAGAAAATACGCTGAGGACTGATTCTAACGGTAGAAGAATGTCACCAAGCAAGAGTGCGGAATTTATTGATAGCGAGACTTGTTAATAAATACTCCAATAATACTCCCTTTTCCGTCTGCTCCTAAGACAAGCTCTGCAGCCCGCAAAGGCCTCCATTGTGTATTTGTAACTTAGCTGATCCCCTTGGCCTCACTCTGAAGAAACAGCACCCTGTGCTGGAAAGTGTGAGCTGTTTGCAGTCTTCAGATTCTTTCTTCCCTTCCCCCACCCCAATTTCCCTGGTCCCCAGCAGGTGATAATATCTTTCCTCTGATCCACTCTCCCTGCCTCTAGTGGCTGCCTCCCCCGATGAATTCTCACCGGGTGACTTTGGCATTTGCATATTCCTTGCTTGGATATCCTGAGATGTTGGAACCAGAGAGAGCCGGTTGACGGGGATCGGCTATTTAGCTGAATGAGGCTTTCTCGGGAACGGCACAGATATTTGGAGTCGGGTGTGTGCCAATAGGCAATTAATTGAAATGTGGACACAGCAAGCTTCTGGAGGAAGGAAACTGAAATTGAGAAATTGACCGTGGGAAGCAACTCTCCGCAAGATACAAAACAGTAATTGGGGAATTTCCTTTACCTCAGACGGAAATTGATTTGGTACAGAGAAAGAACGAAGCAAAACAAAACCCAGCAAGTGTAGGGTCAAGGTGGACTCCTGTCATAGAAGCGCTGGAAGGGCCTCTCAGAGACTGCAGGTCTGACCTTCTCACAGAGGGAGGAGAGCCCAAGGTCAGTGGCGAGTCCTGGCAAATTCAGGACCTGCAGCCAGATGTTCTGACTCCAGCCCTGGGCCCTTTGCACTTTTTATGCTGACTGTCTACCTGGAGACCTGGATTATCATATTAAGAGGTAAAGGGCAAGGACTGCGATTTAAGCAGTTTCCTGTCACCACTGACTTTGTGAATATATTTAGTAAAACCTGTAACGAAACCAAGCTCCTCACTGATGGTGACCTCAAGTCAAGAATGGAAGCGCCTCTGCAGATCTTTACGGCACTCCTACTTGGTGTCTGGGTGTCTGTTAAGTAATGGAGACAGAGGTGATTAAAAATAGGGTCTCTGATCTCCCATTTGATCCTGCAATCCCATTTCTAGGCTTCTACCCAGAAGGAAAAAAATCACTTTATCATGAGGACATTTGCACTAGACTGTTTATCGCAGCTCAGTTTACGATCGCCAAAATGTGGAAACAACCTAAACGCCCACCAACCCAGAAATGGATTAACAAGCTGTGGTATATGTTTATCACAGAATACTATTCAGCCACTAAAAAAGATGGAGACTTTACATCCTTTGTATTAACCTGGATGGAGGTGGAACACATTCTTTTTAGTTAAGCATCACAAGAACGGAGAAACAAGAATCCAATATATTCCAAATGAAGGCAGCAGATGGGCTCATATGAGGTGGGGGGTAGGAGAAGGAGGCAGTGGGTAGAGGGGAGGTGGGAGGGTATGGGGTCACAGTGTATGGCACACATCTTGGGGGCAGGACACAATTATAAGAGGGACTTTACCTAACAAATGCAATCAGTGTAACCTAATTCTTTGTACCCTCAATGAATCTCAAGCAATTAAACAAAAATAGGGTCTCTGTGATGTTGATCTGATGCCAGGTGGGGGCCCAACTTCCTGTTTATCCCCTTTAGCAAGTATGAAGCCTGGTGCCTGCCTGCGTGTCCCCATCTCTTTAGTACTTTATACATGATGAATGAGGGAAGAGGATCTCTGGGCTATTGCCTTAAGACCCTGATTGTTTTAAGGAGGCATAAAAATCCTTTTTGCATTGGTTACAGGTATGTGGGGTCCAAGTGATCATTTTTAGGCTTCCCATAGAATGCGGCTTTCAAAGTGTAGTCTCTGAACCAGGTGCAAAGCCCACCACCTGGCAACTTGTTAGAAATGCAAATTCTCAGGTTCCACTCTGGCCCTACAGAATCAGGAACTCAGGTGGGTGGAGGGGCCTCTAGCAATCTGTGTTTTAACAAGCCCTCCAGGGGACTCTGATGCCAGGTAAACTTTGAAAACCATTGCCCTAGAAAATTATGATTTGGAAGTCTGGGCTGCTGGGCCCCAATGCCGGGCAAGCAATTTCTTTTTGATTATTGGACCCTAAAGTATAAAATGCTCTTCATTTCAGAAAGCCCAGGTGAGCTGTTTCCATCCATTACTGAGTGTTAAACAGGGAAAAACTTCTAAGCAATTCTTTAAAGTTTAACTGACCAGCACAATTCGGGTAGCTCAACTTATTTTCCAGTAAGTACAAAATTGTCATACTTTCAAATTCCATGGAAAGACTGAATAAGTTAATTGATTGCTTAATCTGTTATTTTTAGAATACCACTTCCTTACCTCACGTGAAAGTTTATTCAAAATTCAAATGGAACATTTTATTAGCCCAAAATGTTTTCCTATATACTTTAACATGTTACTAAGGAAACCAGTTGTAACATTGCAGTGATATTGTTGCTCTAGCAAATTAACTATTCAACATATATGCCATTCTATAATGTTTTCTCCCTCTGTCCCTCTCAAATTTCACACTTATTGAATTTATACATTTATAACACAGGACATCAGAAGCAATGGGACAAGAGGGATAAGGAGAAATTGTATCCCAGAGAGACAGGCTATTTCCCTGGGATGTGTTTTGCGGTGTTGGAGTGTAGGTGATTTTTCCTTCCCCGTTAAGAGTCCCTCGGTGCAGGGAAGCTGTGTTAGAGAGAGCGGCCCCCTCAAAGGACACTCTGGTGAGTTGGTGGGTGGAAGGGGTTCTTCTGATGAGTGCTAGGAAGGACTAAAACTGGGCGTGTGGTGCAAAGTGTGCTGATCACACATTTAAGGAATCAAATGACATCAAAGCAGTGGATCACAGAGCCACTGAGATGGCAACAGGAGATGGGGGGGAGGTGCAGCCCAGCGGGAGGCCTCTTGTTTTTTCTTTCTGGATGGGGGGGAGGAGATGTTATTAATGATAGGATGAATTAGAACAGATGGGTACTTTTGACACATTTTCCCATGTTGTTATTTTCCAATTTCCCATCTTTCCACCACCTAGTCCTGTGCCTGCCTCTTGGTTAGGAGTGAAAGCATGTGACTTTTTAAAGGGAAGCCTTAGGAAGGAAAGAAGCAGAGAAGTTGGCTTAGAGCTCAGAGGGCATGTGTTGGCAGATCTGGGCTGTCTTCCGAAAGCCTTTGCTGGGTGTAACGAGGGGCAGGCTACCATGCCCACCGTGAGCCCCGTGATGCCACATTCAAAGACGAGCCATGTGGCACTTCCTCACTTGCTCCATCCTGGCCTCGCTCCATCCCTGATTGTGGCTACCTTTCTTCAGCCTTCAGGAAATTTGCATTGCAAATGGTGTTTGTTAGGCCCCTGAAATAATATTAATCATTGTAAAACAATTATGTTGCATAATTCATACATAAAAAGGAATGAACCCATTGCTGGAATTACCTAATATTTCCTTTATTATGAATCTTTCTTGTCCCTACAAATAATGAGACCCTTGTCTGCCCTTCTGGCTGAGAAAGTGTCTGGGAAAATAAAGCTACTGCCCTTCTATGGCTTCTTGGAATGTTCACATGTGGCCAGAGCCAGGTATCTTATACAACTTCAAAGAAAATGCCCAGGGACCTGGCAAAATGGACAACTCAGCATCCCATAGCTGGACCCTTCTTGCAAGAAGAGGGACAAAGGATGGACACCATAGAATTAGACAAAGAGAAGCTGGGAGCCGAGCAGTGAAGCAGCGAGGCTCTCTGGCCATGTCTCTGCCTGTACGTGGCCTTGTGTCCATGTGAGTGTAAACAGCCATCAGTGAACAGAAATCTCAGAGTTGGGACTCAACCTCCACTCTCACTGGAGTGAGTTGAATGATGCACCCCACCCCCAAATATATGCACATCCTAATCTCCATAATGTGTGAATGTGACTTCCTTTGGAAAAAAGAGTCCTGGCAGACGTAAGGAAGTTGAGGATCTTGAGATGAGGTCACCTCGTATTTACCACGTAGGTCCTACATCCAACAACAAATTTCCTCATAAGAGTTACAGGTAGGAGAGACGAGAAGAGAAAGGAAGAGAAGAGAAAAATCATGTCAATAAGGTAGAGATTGGAGGGAAGAGGCCACAAGCCAAGTATGCCTGGTGCCATCAGAACCTGGGAGAGGCAAGAATCCTCTACAGGATTGCAGAGGAAGCACAGCCCTATTGATAGCTGGATTTCAGGCTTCTGGCCTCCAGAGCTGAAACAAACAAACAAAAATGGTTGTTTTTAGCCACCAACTTTGCAGTCATTTGTTGCAATAACTCCAGGACACTAATACATGTGCCAGGCCCTACCCTGTCCCATAAGCGCCCAGGGAGGTTCCTGGCTCACATTTTGAATTTATGATGGCCACTGTGCCAC